TAGCTACATACAGGATCCACACAGCACACTGCTTCCCCGCTTAGCTATGTTTTGTAGCTGTTCCCTGTGCTTTCTTTATTCTTCCTCCTTGGTCCTTCCTACCTGTAGTGACCTTCACTCTCCTCTGCCCTTGTGTGTGATAAACTTTTATTCTGAAGATGAACACATGCAGTACTTTCCTTTCTAGGGCCTAGGTTATTTCATGTTGCCGAGTTTCGTCTAGTTATGTCCATGTTACTAGCAAAAGATCCAGGTTCAGTTCTCATCATCCCCAAATGTCCATAACCTCCTGGAGCTCCAGCCTCAGGGTTCCAGTACACTCGTCTGGCCTCTAGGTGCTGCAGGCCTACGATGCACATAGACACATGCAGGCAAAAGATCCATACATATTCTAAAGGTAAAATAAATAGCATTGATTTTTAAAATATATTTTTAAATACATATTTTTAAAATAATATATTTTAAATATATATTTTAAAAATAGCATTCTAATAACTTAGAGGTAAGTTCGTCAGAGACACATAGCCAAAGCCTGGAATTACAAATAAACTTTGCATTTCACAAAGAGTCCAGCATTCTTATTAACTTTTGGTAGCTGAAGATTCAGTACTATACCCTATTAAAAGAGTTTGAAGATCGTAGCACATGTAAAAATGTTTGCTTTGTATAATTGATTTACTATTGTTGTGTATGGGGCACACATGCCACGGCATGCTTGTGGAAGTCAGAGGACAACTTTCAGGAGTCACATGACATGTAGACGTGGAACTCAGATCGTCATTATCAAAGAGCAAGTGTTTACCCTCTGAGCTGTCTTGCTGTCCCCCTATGAGGGGGTATGGGTGTTTTGCCTACAAGTGTGTCTGTGCAGCATGTGTGTGCCTGGTGTCCACACAAGGCATTGGATTCCCTCGAACTGGAATAGAGACAGTGGTGAGCTTCCATGTGGTTGCTGGGAATCAAACCCATGTCCTCTGAAAAAGCAAGCAGCCAGTGCTCTTACCCACTGAGCCATCCTTTCAATAGTTAAAATGTGTCTAGCCATAGAGTCATTTAAAACCTGCCATCCATGCTGTGATGGCTGTCACTTGCCTCTCTGGGCTTCTGAGGGGAGAGAGCCTACAGCTGTTGAAGGTGGACTAGTAGGTGCAAAGGTGAACTTAGCCACGTCAGCTCATGTGGTCTCTGATGCGCTGGCCACAGATGTGTAGGGGAGATTGCCTCAGCCGAGGCAGCAGCTCGCACCATGTTGCTTTCCTGTAATCAGGACTCCGTCTCTTTGTTTATGTTGCTACCAGATGTTCTCGGTCCTGACATCCCACTCTGCTCCTTGTCATGCAGGAGGACCCTGTTCCAAACGGTCTCCAGGCGCTTCCTCTGTTCTATGCTGCTACTATAGCAATAAATGTCTTTTCCATCATGTACACAGGAGCACCAGGTAAGACCCCTCCACGGAATCTTAAATAAGGAACGTGTAATAATTTAATCGTTTACTTGCTTTGTAGCTAGCATAGCTGTTGGTTATTAGTAAGAAGCCTTGTTCCTGTTATTGTGGAGTAGTAAAAACAGTAATAAGTGCATTTCCTTGTTTTAAATACCAAGAAGATGCGTGAAATACAAAAACAACAGGCTCTCAAGATAAACAGGGAAATCCCATTCTGCCATCACCCTGGCAAGCCAACTGAAATGCCACGTCTTAGACCATGTTCCAGTGGCCGCGGAGGCAGGAGAAGGGTGCACCACGCATGTGGTCCAGATGTCGAGGATGGGAAAGATGGCCCAGAAGTGATCTACAGCTGTGAATACAGAAATTCCCAGGCATTATCAAACCATTAGTCCTGGACCTAGCGATTTCCTTTTCAGAATTTCAGAATTACTCTTTTTCTTTCTGGTTTGAGGTGGGGTGGGGAGCATGGTGGCATGTACCTGCCATCCCAGCACTTGGCCTTGGTTAATCAGTTTCAGGGGAGCTTGGCAATACAATAGCTCGCAAAGAAAAAAGTAAAAAAGAAAAGAAAGAAAGAAAAATGTCTGTGTGTGGCTGGTCGGTCCTTCGGAGTCGTGACCAGTCCTGTGTGAGTCCTATAGAAACCTGTAGTAAGAATCTTTTCATACACATTGTAGCTTAAAAAAAAAA